GCTAAATGAAAAATGCCATCTTGAAATGGTGTTCCTTGAGGACCATGGATGGTAGCTATCCAATTAAACATATCTTTTATTGGATCAAGTGGCTGAGCTTGACATAATGGTGGTGGATCATTTTTCATTTCCTTCAATTGTTTTGTCAAACATCGAAGAAGAGCCATCTATAATAAAAAAGGAAGTAAGAATTACGTCATTAGTAGGAAGAGACGAAGGTATGAGCTGTCTTTCATATATATAGAGAAGAATCTTATTCCTATAATTTTGTAAAATATGATCAGATTTTATTAAATGTTACGTGTTGTTGCAATTGTGTTTCCTTGCAATAACAACCGTTATATAAGATTAACTTAAATATTTTTATAGTTATTTAGATATAAATATTTGATTCTGGATTACTCAATAACGAAAAATCATGAATGGTAAAACGTCAGTATGACTCATTATTTGAGAGTAGATTGTTTTTCATAAGAAAATAGAATTATGGTGAAACAACGTTCTCTTGAAAAAAAAATTTTAGCCTTCATTATGTTACAGACGACAATGAAGAATATTACCGTGTCGCCTTTTAAAGGACGTCGTCCTTATCGAAATGTATGTGTCTAGTGACTCAGTCTGTTAAGATATATATCCACAAGGAGAAAAAACATCAAGTTGGGTATTTTTTTCTCTTTTTCAATCGAACGGAACAGACAAAAAAGAAAGAGAACAATACTCCCACGTAAAGCTTTCCTTGCATCTATTTTTTATTACTGATCAACAACTATATAAAGATACATGTGTTTTTCGCCTTCAATAATTATTATGACTACTCTATAAACATTATAATTAAGTCAAGTTGATGAACGTGCGCGTAGTTTAACACTTTTTTTCAAACTACTCAGATGAGAGAAATTATGAAATTCATAGAGGTAGAACATGCCAAATCATTGACGCTGGTGTTCTCAAGGTGTAATAAATTTTATGAAAATTAAGAAATTAAAAATTTGTCTATCGTATCAAAATTTATTCTATCTCGTTTGAATTTCATATATTTTTATTTAAAGCTACTTATTAATGTTCAAATTTTAAGTGCAGCAAATTTAATTCTTATATCTACCTATTTAATTGGTAAATCACCAAGAACAATTCATATAATTTCCAGTTTGAGATGGTTTCATCCATGACGTTAATCAACATAGTCTTGTGCTACGGCCTTATTTAAGGTTGAAGAAAAAGATGATGTTTGGAAGTTGTTACAGTCTTACCGTAGCTTGTAGAAGATGATAGTTTGTAAGCTTAGTAATAGTTTGTTTATTGAAGAAGAAAATGCAAATATTTATATGACAAGAGTGATTACTTTATTGAATATTCCCACCTCTTGTAATACAACATATTATGGGAAATTTCTTAACTGATATCCTTTTGTTCATCACCTGGAAATATATCATTTTAATGTAAGTGAAACAACACAGAAGAAGAACGAATTATGATAACGAAAAGGAAAAATCCGATACAATCTTATATATAGGAAACAGAAAAATCTTATATGATCATATGCTATGTCGGATCTTACCCAGATGCACTTCATAAGATTGATCATCGCTATAATCATATTTGTTATATTCCCTTTCATTCTACTTTATACTTTCTTCTGTTCTTCTTCTTCTTGTTCTTACATATGTATTATTCTCTCTTGTCATTCTCTCTATCGAGAGGAATTTTCCTTTCGTATGCATATATGGGTTTTTCCTTTCGTTTCTTTCATCTGCTTGTATTTTCCAAACGTTCTCGTTTGATAGTTTTCAGGTTTATTCCCTTATTAGTTCTTGGATTTTTTCTGATCTGTTCAGTATATATGTTGAAGCGTTTTGAAAAATAAGGTAGACGTTTTAGTATCGATCCATTAGATCAATTCTCGCGCTAAAAATATCATAACCAATGCTTTTTATTAAATTTTCAAATTATAAAATAAAATGTTAGATAGAAACCAATTTGTATTATATTTCTTCGTTTGTTCATGAAAATTCCAAGGTTATATATACTTTAATAGATCGCGCATGTTGAAAGAACGTCCACTTGATGATAAGAGTAAATTTCATACAATAAGACAATACATAAAGCAAGAAACAGAAATATCCAAAAAGACATATGACATATTTAAGAAGAGTATACGTTATGTTTTTACAATGGAGGATGAATAAACACACGAAGAGATAAAGATTTCAAAACATGACGAAGAACGAAAGGAAAACATCTTATAATGAAAACTTACATTGAATCATTTATTGAAATAAAGAACAAAAGTCTACAAATCGATTACTATGAAGGCCAAATATACAGTTTGTAATCTTTGATTTTCTACAAATACTGTGAATTAAAGCACATCGATGATTATGACTAAATTTCAATCGTAACAATAATTAAAGACAAAAAAAAACATCGAGGAAATTTTGATATATATTTTTTAAAAATCAATACAGATCATTTGTGACTTCGTTCATTATATTTATATTGTTCAATATTTTCATTGATTATTTAGATACCTCGAATCAATGAACATTTAACTTAAAGAAAGATCACGTTCAATGATAACTACATATCACTAAGGATCATATAATTCTTTACATAATCAACATAGATAGAAATCATCCTAAATATCACAAATAAAAAATATTTACTTTTATCATTTATTAAAGCTTCTCTTATTATAAAGTCAATATTATTTGAAAATTCTAATACTATTTCTATTCCAGGTGAAATTAATATTTATATTTACCATGTTAACGAAAATGTTTATAATTGAAAATAGAGTAATTCTCAAAAAATCTATATAATAAACTTCTTTTTTTATTATCTTATTAAAGATTTTAATCTTTACTTTGCCATTATTTCTCTTATAGTTATATAATTCTATGTGTGACAATTATTTTATTCGTGTTTCTTCTTATAAATATTAAAAACTTTACAATTAATAATTTGCACAGTCATTTATTATCTTTCATAATTAAAATCTATTTTTAATTAGTTATTTTTTCGTATTTCTTTTCATTGAACTAAATTTCAGTAGACTAATATTTAAACAAAAAGAAAACATGTTACCACTCAATTTAAAGAAATAAAGCTGTGGCAAGAGAATTTACTTACATATTCATTTCAGTACACAAGAGTATTATTAAAATAACAATTTGCATTGGAAACAATCTAATATTTCTAATCTAGCAAAATCACACAAATCAAAGAAAAGAGAAAAATATATATAAGAACACAAATGAGCACATGTATGCATACATATAAAGAGTAGACAAAAAGTATTGATTTATTTTTCGAGCAATTACTTTATCTTGATGGTAAAAAAATACAGTGAAACATGCTCTTGCAAAATGGTTTTGAGTGATTCCGCTAGTTCGGATAGTAAGAAAGTTATAAGTGTAGAAATATGCGTGACGAAAAATTAATCGTAAACTTTATTGATATGATGTTATTTTCAATGAAAGTTGTGTAGTTTAATCATAAGAATAGATTGTTCTATTGATTAAAACGACACGTTGCCCTTTTATGTCAATATTGTTTCTAACAAACTTCAAAATATGAATTTTGATATGATCTTACCACAACTAATAGTTAACAGAAAATCATCTTTATTTCTATTGATATCTACATTCCATAGACGAGTTAATTAATTATCATTGAACTATTAAAATTTTCTCTCATAACTTTTCCAAGAGATACTTTCAAATTGAAAGAAATGTTATTGTTGATTTTTTTTATCAAAATATTAAATATTATCGAAATAAAATTCTATTGAAAAATTTGTAAATTTAATTTTATATTATTAAAATCAGTTTTAATAGATAAAAATCAAATGAAAAAAAAAAGAAAAAAACATTTATTTTTCTATTCTATTGAAGTAGAATTATCATTGTATAGATTGTAATTGATCCTATTTGTAAATAGATGACTTTTGAACACATGTAAAAAAGTCATGAGACAAAAGATAAAGTCATAAAACTTGCATTGAATTATTAACGATATTACAAAATCAGTTATTTAAGAAAAATCAGATGAGAATTACTAGTTTAATTAAAGGGAGAAAACATGAGTATATGAAATTATCCTATTTAACAATAATTAATCATTGTTTATTTGAATTTTTATGATATTAGAATTTTCTGAACAATAAAATATTTTTTTCATCATATATATATGTTACTAATGTTCTTACTTACAATGCATATATATAGAGACTCAAAACACAATAACAATATAAATTATCCAATTTACACACTATAACCTCAAACATATCAATCTCGGTTTTGACAAGTGACGGTATAGAATTTATTATGTTTTTTTTTGTCTATTTATATAGAAAGAATTTAGGACTCGATTAAGTACAAATAAAGAGTATTATTTACTAGTGTAATTAGTTTAATGATGATTTTTAGGAATATAAGTGGATATCATTTTTACTGAATATAAGAAAAATAGATCGTTGATTTAAAATAGTTTATAAAAAGTTGAGACATTAATTAGTACGGCTAATTTAGCAGAAATATATTTTGATTAAAATACAATATGAGCGATCTATATTTCAGTCCATAGGAGTTAAATATTACAACTATTTTTTGTTTGACTAGATAAATATAGAAGTGTTTTTTTTGGCCGAATTAAAGAACTATGAGTTGCTGAGAAGAAAGCTTTAAATATTTTGATTACCTTTTCACCAAAACGACACTTTCTTCTCTTATCTATGAATGAGTTGACAGGAATAATATTCACACGAAAAAAAATATTTTACTTGACGCTTTACTAAAAACAGACTATAACGAATAGAATATCTTATAAATAGCTTCTATTATTCGATAATATCATATTTAAATCTTTCAATTATAAAGATTCTAGTAGAAATATAAAAAAACGTTTTTCAGACATTTTGTCAAACCTGATACATTTGGATATATCTAATGTATCAGAATGATTTATATCTAGTAATCATTATATTTACCTTCAAGATGTTTTTTTTCTCATGACTAACGGGATTTTCACCACTCTTCATTATCTGTTCGAATGACATGATTATTAACCACTTGAGTTTTTCCTTGTCAAAAACAATATATATACATACCAATACGAAGTTTAATGTATAAATATCTTTAGCATCATCTTTATCATTTATTGTAGTTGAAAAATAAATAATTTTTTCTCTCAAAGTTTTTGACAGGTGCATTCGTTTTGTCTTGAGTATTACATCTTATTTCAAATAGAGATGCACAGCAATGCTGATAATTTCATCGATAATACAGTGTATCGATATACTGCAACTGAACATTTCTGATTTAAAATGATATTAATAAAAAAAGTAGATACACTTTTTTTATTTTAGATACTTTTAGTTTTTCAAGAAAATAATGAATTACAAATTATTAATGCTAATTTCGTTTTTACTTACATTGTTGGTCACAACAATTCAAACACAGGAAACATTTGATATAGATTCGAATGATTATCGTCAGTATTAATTTATTTAAATGAATAAACATATTAAACTAAATTTTATCTCTTTTAGCCATGAATGAAATGGAATTTATTATACGTGAAACTCGTCGTTTGAACTGTAATACATTAAAGAAGAAGAAAAAATGCAACGACCATTGTAGTGGTCGAAATCAGAAAAGTCGTTGTGTTAAAGAACGACAATACACACGCTGTGAGTGTTACGAATCACAGAAACCAAATTCGTAATATTTTTGTATTTATTTTAATTATGCAATTTTAATCTATTCAGATGCTTTCTTATCGTTGAAGGTCTAATAAATATATTTAATTTCTCGAATAAGTAGTTAGAATTTCAATTATATAAACTTTTCACTGAAAATACTCTATAATCTTTATAGGAAAGTATCTTCTCGATTATTATGTTGAGATCAAAATACTAGTCTGTCTTTCTTATTATTGAAAATTAACGGTAAAAAAATAGAAAACGTATCACTTAATACAAAATTTAATCAGATTGATTCTATGCATGATAGGAAACTATTTAAATCTTACGACTGCGAAGATTTTAGTAGAAATATTAAAAAAAACTTTTTCAGACACCGAGTCAAACCTGATACCTCTCGACCTATCTAGCAATCCTTATATTCACCTTTTAGATCTTTTCTTTTTATGCAAAATAGGATTTTTACGTTTATTTATTATATACTCGAATAACGTGATAAACAATTACTTAAGTTTTTTTATCGTAAAAATATATATCACAATACGAGGTTTATTGTAGGAATATTTTACAATATCATCTTCTTTATTATTCATTGTAACAGGTGAGTAAATTTTGGTTAGTAACTCTTACACAAAAATACTATTTTTATCTTGAGAATTCCATTATTTAAATGTAATAATACATATATATCAGGGCTCCGCGTGGGATGAGACAATCCCATCCCATCCCATCCCATGGGATGAAATTTTTTGGGACATCCCATGGGACACAGATTTTCTGTAGAAATTCTCGTTTTATTCAGGAAAGAATAATTCGACTGTGTAAATGTCCCTCTTAGTCATTCTAGTAAAACAATTAAAGAAATATTTGTTTTCTGTTCTTTGATCGGTCACGCTGCGTAAGTACTCGATGAGACATAATCGATAAGAATGAATTAAAGTACAAAGAAAAACACAAATGAATCTATTGTGTCTAAATAAGTGATATTCTTGTATATCAGCTTATTTTCAACAAAATGTCTTTGAATGATTGCTTGTCTGCTGTTGAATCTCAATCCGACGAATGTGAAATAAAAAATATGAAGTGGAATATGAAATAATCCCCTCCCCTCTCTCCAAAATAAAAGGCCCGAACTCTTCTATTATGGTTTCGCACATCGCATTCTTTTGTGAAAAAAATCCCTCTACCTCTGTAGTGTTTTTCCTCGAACTTTGCTCCAGACGGATCTACTGTTTAGGGGGTGGGACTTCTATTGGAAGGGGAGTATAAAGCTTAATAAAAGTACTGATACCATTAGTCGAGTCCACAGTTACACAAAAAAATTTTTTTTAAACGATACTTGACTAACATGTAATTTCATGGGATGGGATGGGATGGGACGAATTTTTTTTTATAAAATCCCATGGGATGGGATTCCTTTTAAAAATTTATCATCCCATCCCATGGGATAGTTTGAAAAATATTTATCCCATGGGACGACCTTTCACGTCCCATCCCATCCCACGCGGAGCCCTGGTAGAGATATACTGCAACTGCACATCTCTATTTTAAAGTCATGTTAATAAAAAAAGTAAATACACTTTTTTATTTTAGATATTTTTGTATTTTCAATAAAAAAATGAATTATAAATTCGTAGTACTTATTTCATTTTCACTTGCATTGCTTACCATAACAACTGAAACATTTCAGTTAAATTCCGATGATTATTGTACGTATTAATTTATTTAAATGAATACATATTAAACTAAATTTTGTTTCTATTAGTTCTAGATCAAATGAAGACTATTGAACGTAACGTTCGTAGTTTTGGATGTAATGGGCCAAATGATAAGAAAGAAGCACATTGCAGATTTCATTGTAGATTTCGACATCAGAAAAGTGGTCAATGTAGTAGAAACTCAAATTACACACGCTGTGAGTGTTTCTCATCATCGATTGAACATCGTTAACATTTTTGCATTTATTTTGATCATCTAGTTTTGATATGTTCAGATACTTTTTTCTCATTGAAAATCTAATAGAACTATAAATTTCATCAATAAGTTGTTAAAGTGAAAAAGATATTCTAGAGAAAATATTCAAAAACAAAAATATAAAACTAACTTATGGAAAAGAAAAAGTTTCAATTTACTTCGAATCTATTTTATCTATTAAACAATTTTAAGACACGCTATTATAAGCTATGAATTGTTTGAATCATTATGCTTGAAGTCGACATATCAGTGAAAATTTTTCCAAAATAGCATTATCATTTATGTTAAATACATCATAATATAATCTATTCGACTAAATCATATAACAAATATATATTTTTCTTTCGAAAAGTTCCGTTGAAATGATAAAAAACCATTTAAGTTGATACTTGTATTGAGATGAACAAATAATTTGAAAAATTAAATACTTGACATTGCTTGTATATAACAAATATCTTATTACATATAACATACAACTTTAATGCAAGACAAGTAGTATTTTTATAGCTCATACTTGAGAAAAATATGATGAGAGTGATATATTATTTTTGAAATATGACTGAATGAACCATTAACAATTCAAAAACAAGAAAAAACCCTTATGAAAATATGTTAAAGAAAATGACGAAAAAAGCTTACTAACACTTACAAGCCAAAATATATATACGTTCTAATGTTGTTATCTTATAAAGACACCTTTAGTTTATATGTTCTTCATTTTGTTTAGAACACCTTTTTATTAGTTATCAAATGATATGATACAAGTTCAATCTTTCTTTCCTTTCTTCTTGTTCATATCATATGTCTATGTTCAGTCTATTTTTCTTCGATTTGTATGATGATCTACACTTTCTTTTACATTTATGTGTTCCAATACAATCACTTTTTTTCATCTTTTAGATATTAACAATATACAATGTATTTGTAATTTACAAAAAAGTATAACAATAATTCTTTTCATCTATCTGATATTTGGTTCAAAAGAATTTGAAGAGTTTTGTCAAAGTATGAACTACAAAGATCGACTAGTATTAGAAAACCATCCACAAGAGATTCCCATATTCGTCTGACTGCTCGATATTTCACAAACATCGCAATCAAAACATTCTTTAAGAAAATACATCGTTTGCATATACCACAATATTCGATATGATATATTTGTTCTGATTGCATTGAAGACTAAGATACAAAAGTATAATTTATTTATCCAGGAACAAAGATTATATTTTAGAGTTTATTATAAAAAAATTCAAAATTTCGCAAAAAAACGACGGGACACAAAGAATTAAAATTTAACTATAATAAAACATTTCTTTTATTAATGATCTAATATAGATGAATACTAACGATTTGATAATCTACATTAATAAGTGAAAAATAAACTCAATTGAATGTTTTTTTTTAAATAATCAATTGTCAGGTGGTCTTATCATCTTTTCTTTATTTCTTTCTTTCATCCTGTTGTCATATGAATACATATCACATAGTGTGATTCATCATCTTCTTTTATATATGTTCTTGTTCTTTTCTCTACTGTCTGATCATAGTAATTTTTCCTCATCTTGTTTCTTTAATCCCTTGTTGGACATACTGAAGATGTAGCATGTGATTTTCTACGAATAAACAGAGGTATATGATTCTCATCTTCACACAATTCCGATAAAATTAAAAAATTATATATAATAACGATCTACTATACTAATTCTATCTATTATATAAAATAAATAAAGCAATTTGATATAGAATATATGATGTAATCATTATTGAATTTTTTTCCTCTCACGTATTTAATTTTCTAACAGGAAAGACAATGTCATACACGAGTGTATAATTGGATAGTAAATGACAATGATATTTGTATTTGTTTTGTGATCTATACCTACAAATATAGATGAATAATGCATTCCATTTTACTGCATACTATATAATCATTTAAAATGTATTCCACAATAAGAATAATTTTTCAATTATTTCTGATAATTTTTTATGAATGGAAAAATATATCTTGTCAATTAAATCTTTATAATACTGATCGACTAATGTATAATATATCATTGCAATATGATTGTTTATATTATCATATACATCATGAAAAACTAGCATATCAAGGATTATCAAATGTAATTGATGATTTAATTCCTTATTGTTTTCGTCCATTAAATGATAGTGAAATATTAATTTTTACTTTTGAAAACCTACGTGATCATAATTTTACTTTCGAAGAATTACGTCTTCATAATATAACAAGTCAACAACTTCTTTCCTGGTCTACTCCAATTGATCTTGTTGAACAATATCAATTTTATTTAAATGAATTAAATATTTCTCAATCATTATTATCAAATGAATTATTTTATAATTGTACAAAACCATGGTTTGGTCTTCAATGTCAATATTCATTTGAATTTAGTGAAGAAATGTCAATGGAAAAAATAATTGAAAATGAATTTTCTCGAAAAACATCCTATACTGAATCAACAAATATTTTACCAAAAATTCCATGTTATGTTCATCTTAAATGTGATCGTGGTGGATCTTTATTATGCCTTGATTGGCGTGAAATATGTGATGGTCGTGTTGATTGTCTTGATGGTGGTCTTGATGAAGCATTTTGTTTCGATATGGAATTAAATGAATGTAATGAAAATGAATATCGATGTCATAATGGTTTATGTATTCCCGAAGAATTTTGGGAAGATGGTCAAGGTGAAGCAGATTGTCTTGATCGATCCGATGAAATACCTGATATATCATATTCAAGATCTTGTTTTCATGATCCAACATTTCGTTGTGAAGAACATTCTTGTAGAACAAATTGGCATGAATTTTCTTGTGGTGATGGACAATGTGTACAAAAATTTGATAAATGTCATAATGGACGTCATATATTACTGAATGAATTAATGAAACTTCAAGGTAATTTATCAGATCAATGTTGGATTGCAATGATTTGTCTTACACAACTTGTTACAGAAGTTAATAAAATCTCATGTCAAATATGGTTAAACAATGATTTAATCTTTGAATATCTTCAAACATGTGATGCGATATTTCAATTTCCAATTAATCCTATACATTATGGTCATATTCGTTTTATATATGATAAACCATATTTAAGATTAAATCGAACTTCTTTTATGTTACCAGATTATATTTGTTTTGATGATAAATTATGTGATTGTATAATACCAACTTATTATTATAATAATCTTACTTGTATACATACATATGAATTAGAAATGGAATTAGATATTTCTGGACATCCATGGATTGATATTATTTTAGAAATAAATTCTCATTTTTCATCTTGTTCAATTACACATAGATTTATTCAATATTTAAATAATAATTCATTAATTTATAATTGTCAAAATTCATCGAAATTAATTTCAAAATCTCGTCTTATTGATGAAAATAAAGATTGTTGTATGAATGATGATGAAAATTATGAATCTAGTTGTTTACTTCATGATAAATATCGAATACAATGTCCAAATCAAACAAAATGTTTATCATCATTACAATCTATACATGATTGTCCAGATTATGAAAATCAATATAATAATAATATTCCATTTCACATTTTTTGTAATGGTTTTAAAGAATATATTTTTGAAGATTTAAATGGTCAGATCTATACAGATGAATCTGAATGTAATTATTGGCCATGTAATAATATTCATTCACGATGTGATGGTTATTGGGCTTGTTCAAATGGTGAAGATGAATATAATTGTAATTATAATATATGTCCTTTTGGAACACATCCATGTATAACATCAATGAATTATTCATTCATTTGTTTATCTTCTGATCGTGTTGGTGATGAAATTATTGATTGTCTTGGTGCTTCGGATGAACTTTATTTTTGTCGACAATTATATTCATTAAAAAAAGATTATGAACGTTTTCGTTGTTTAGAGAGTGATTTATGTTTATCAATATTTGATTTATGTGATAATATTCAATCATGTCCACTTGGTGATGATGAACATTTTTGTAAAAACTCAAGATTTATATGTCAAGATAATTTATCTACAAATTCTAGTTCAATCGAAAATATTCTTTGTCAATTAAGTGAATATAAAAGAACAAGAATTATTCATTTTACAGTTCATACATCACTTGATTATCCACAATCAAAATTATTTATTATTATGAATGAAACAAATCTATCGATAAAACAACAAACATATTCACATATAAAAACTATTGAATCACAAATAAATTTTAATCCATGGACATGGTATTGTACTCGAGGACTTCCTATTCGTATTTGGTTAGGAAATAATAGTTATAAATCTGGATGTATATGTCCACCGAGTTATTATGGTGATTTATGTCAATATCAAAATGAAAGAATAAGTCTTACATTAGGATTAATTCGTGCTGAAAAACATGAAATTTATACAGTTGTTATAATGTTAATTGATGATAATGATGAACGTAAAGAAATAAATTCTTATGATCAATTTGATTATATGCCGAGTCAAAGTTGTGGAATTAAATTTAATCGTTATCTTCTATACCCAACAAGACCAAAAGATCGAACAAAAAATTATAGTATACATATTGATGTATTTGAAAAAAATACGATGTTTTATCGTGGAAGTTGGCATTTATTTATACCTTTTCTTTTTTTACCTGTCAATAGATTATTGATTTCACTTGTTATACCTTATTATAGAATTTCAAATTCATTCGATTGTAAGAATAAATGTTATAATGGTCAATGTATTAAATATATAAATAAAGAAATACATTTTTGTCGATGTTTTTCTGATTGGTCTGGTATTCAATGCAATATACCAATAAATTGTAAAAGTTGTTCATCGGATTCAATATGTGTAGGTTCAATTAATAATCGTTCAATATGTATTTGTCCTTTAACAAGATTTGGGCCTCGATGCCTTCTTACATCATCATGTGCAATTAATGCATGTCAAAATAATGGTCAATGTATTTCAGCTGATTTAAGTATTCCTAGTAGTGATTATAGTTGTATTTGTCCTGATCAATTTTATGGTAGTAGATGTCAATATTTAAAAGCTAAACTCGAAATTTCATTAGAAAATCTTGATATTCCATCTTATTTAATGGCTTTTTTCTTTACAATTTCGGAACAATCAGAACCAAAATCAACAATTATGCTTGAAAAACTAACTCTTTTTCAACATACTGTTATATTTCGTATTTCTACTCCATATCATATGGTTATTATTAAATCAAATGATAAATATTATTTAGCTGTTATTCAACAAACTCCAAAAATAGATATTTCAACAACAATTAATCCTAGTCGAGAATGTATTTCTATTGAGAAAATATTTAATTCTACACTTATGGAATTACCACGATTTCAACGTATTAAATATTATCATATATCATGTCAAATAAATCATCATTTAAATTGTTTTCTTGATGAAGCTTATTTATGTTTATGTACTCATGATCATCATGCAAATTGTGTTGAATTTCATCGGGAAAAAAATCTTCAATGTTCATCAACACATTACTGTAAAAATCAAGCACAATGCTTTCAAGATCATCCTAATTGTCCATCTTCAATTATTTGTGTTTGTAATGAATGTTTTTTTGGTAGTCAATGTCAATTTTATACCAAAGGTTTTGGTTTAACATTGGATGAAATCTTAGGGTATGAAATCAAACCTAATACATTACTATCAAATCAATCATTTTCTGTTAAATTAAGTGCTCTAATAACAATGGTGATGTTTGTCATTGGAATAATAAATGGTATATTTTCAATATTTACATTTAAAAATAAAATATCTCAAGAAGTTGGTTGTGGAATGTATCTTCTTACATCATCGATAACATCCTTATTAATTGTAATTTTATTTACATTAAAATTTTGGTTTCTTATACTTTCTTCTCATGATTTTTTTGCACAAAGATTAATACTTTATTTCAATTGTATGTTAATTGAACCATTATTAAAAAGTCTTTTATGTATAGATAATTGGTTAAATGGTTGTGTAGCTGCTGAAAGAGCAACTGCTGTTTATAAAGGAATTTATTTTAGTAAGAAAAAAAGTAAATATATTGCTAAATGGGTCATATTAATTCTTATTTTAATTAATTTCATCCTTTTTATTCCTCAATTATCATATTTACATTTATTTGATGATCAAAAGGAAGAACGTACATGGTGTGTCGTTCTTTATTCATCATCATTATATATTTATAATACATTTATTATGTTTTTTCATTTTTTTACACCATTTTTAATAAATTTATTTTCTGCAATATTTATTATAATAACAACTGCTCGTCAACGTGCAACTACACAAATTAAATTTGTTTATTTAAAACAATTTAAAAATAAATTAAAACAACATAAACATCTTTTCATAAGTCCAATTATTTTAATTATTTTATCCTTACCTCGTCTTATTATTTCATTTACATTGGATTGTAAGAAATCATCCGAATATTTTTGGTTATATCTTATTGGTTATTTTGTTTCATTTATGCCATCTATACTTGTATTTGTAGTATTTGTCTTACCATCAGCCGTTTTTAGAAAAGGATTTAAACAAGCAATTGATCGTGGTCAACGATGGATTTTATTATTCAAAAGAAATTTCTATTGAAATAAATACATGTGATATATCAATGTTGTATATGTCTATTTGAATTAAATTCTTTAAATTAAAAGTCAAATATTTCTGTTGCAATTTTATCGGAATTTACAAACTGAAAATATATTTATTCTAATTACGATGAGAGATATTTATATTGATTTATAAGCGAGAAAAAGATTCGATTTAGTATGAATCTTAAGAATTTAAGGAATAAAAAATAGTATGAATAGATTGAACGAAGATCACCAACGGTCCTATGGTCTAGCGGTTAGGACATTGGACTCTGAATCCAGGAGCCCCAGTTCAAATCTGGGTAGGACCTTTTTTTTTCTTTCGTTCTTTCTTTCGTTTTGTCTGTCAACATCAGTGCAGGTATAGAAGAAATATATTGTATACTTTTTTTTTCTCGTGCTCATTTAAAATAGAGTTCGTAGTATTGTAAAGCATATCAGTTTAAATTTGAAAGACAAAATGCAACCTTTCTTTATTAAAAAATTTATCTGATTTATTCATCATATTTAATTATTGGCGTCGATCGAAATAAGTTTAGATTAGTAGCGAAACTCATAGTTTCATTAACTGGAATTTTGTATTTAGAAATAATATAATATATATTTGATGATTATCTCTGAATGAAAATAAACTGTATGATTATACAAGTATTTAGAATATTTCGATGTACTTTAACAGAAATTTTGCCTGTTAAATTTAAAGTTATTGTTGTATTTCTTACCGTTTTCTCATAAACATATTATCTGTTTTTATTATTAATGCGCCATTCGATTGTACTTTAAAAGAAAATGATATGCGCATTTACAAGGAATAAATAAAAACATCTTGATATTCATATAATGCAAGCCATCACGAGTACATTCACGTTTTTGTGTCCTTATCTACACATATTTTTGTTTTTTTTCTACCTCTATCGTATATGGCTTCGTATGCAGAATAGCGCAGCATTATTTTTCTGATTTTGACTTTTAGATTGTTTTTTTTCTTTCTCATGTGAGTGAAGGGCAAAAAGAAAGATAAAAAAAATAGACCCTAAAAAAGAAAAGTATATATTTAATATTGATAATACTAAAATATTTTTCAGTTAGAGATTATCTACTATTTCTATCATGAAAATTTGTCAACAAGACGAAAAGGTAGACTATTTTTTTCAGAGTTACAATCATATGAAATATATTTATTTTTTTTATTAGGATATTTCAAAATTATTCGCATTTTTACGAATTCAACTTCAAAATAAAGAAAAAGAATTACTTGAATTACAAAGAAAAGATCCATATTTATTAGCACCAGATTCTGATCAAATTGATCTACTAATTGATACAATCGCTTCTCTCCAATTATCGACAGAAGAAAGATCATTTGTTTTTTCATCAACTTCTGATTATGATGATTTTTCACCATTGACATCTGCTTGTTCGATTGATTTTAATTCTATTAAAACTCTTCCATCAACAGTTTGGCTTTCACAAACACATTCGACAAAACAACAAAATGAACAACGAACATCATTTTTTAGTCATTTATTATCATTACCTATTAAGAATTACTTAGCGTCATCATTTATAACAAATACTAAAACTTCAAATCAATTTTCTAATCGTATTCCTTTGGCTAATCATTTACTTTTTATGCCTATTAACGCTTTCAAACCATCCAGTAACACCTGTACATCTAGCGAAATAAAATATAAGAAAGAATTGTATGTATATAATTCTATGACAATTTGTTATCGATACAAAATATTAGATATTTTATTTTTTAGAGAAAATGATATATTATCAGTACCAACAAACACAATCAAGAGTGTTTTAAATAGTGAATCAATTTATTCAAAAGAATATTGGTTACAAAATAAATAAAATCAATTACGGATACATGACAGTTCTTCAATGATCCTAATCAGTTAGTTAACAAAAAAAGACGTCAATTTTAAGCTTTTTTTTAATATATTTTTCTTCTTAAAAACAATAATTTCCTTTATTTATAATTAATTTTCTGTATAGCATTTTGATCTTCACATTGTATATAAAACTATCGAAATATTAATTACTTTTAACTAAAATGTGTATTTTACAAGAAGTTTTCATTAAGATAAAAAATAAGAACAGAATTATTTCCTCTTTATGTGGAATACATTTAAAATGGGTATTTTCATTAAATTCAAAACGATGACTTTTCAAAGTCATTTGGAAAAATTAGAAAGATAAAAAAAATAGCAAAGAATATAATGTAAGAATATGGGAAAATGAAACTAATTGATAATACTCATTTCGCTAATTAGCAAGATAATAGTTTATGGAAACGGTGAGTTGTTGGTTCGTGTATACATGTGCTCCAGTTGTATATTCTATGAAGAAAAAAAGGATTTAATAAATCAAAGAATTATTCAATTTTAGTACTCATCATAATAATATTTTAGTGAGACTCAAAAAAGTCATATGAAAGAAATAGTGTAACATGTCCTACTCTGATTATACATCACTGTATAAAAAACTAACTTACACAAACATTGTCATCCCTTGAAATGATTACCTAACCTACTGATTTAAAATAATAGACTCATTAGTATCATAATTCTATTGCAGTATTTTTTGTAGACTTAGATAAAAGTAAAACGACTGTATTTGGATATTTTCGTGATTTCGAACAAGAAATTTATAATTGACTGCTTGGACAGTGAACAATCAATAAAACAATTATTTCTATTAGCGTCAAATATTTCACTCAACTTCAGACAAAACTTTAGAGTTAGTAATATAATATAAGATCGAGCAAACATTGGTTATATCATTGAGGAATGTAACAAAAATGAATGAGTTGAACGTTTGGTTAATAAGTGATTCTGCCAGTATTCTATATAGCATACTACAGTAGACAGAAATAGACGTGGAACGCAGTGATTAGTGTAAAGTTACTTCAAAAAGACTTTCTTTTTATTGATCAGTAAATTTTATCTCAGAACCTGACATATTCATGCGATAAAATCTCACACTCTCTTCTCGTCTTTGTATTTAAAGAGAACCAAAGAATATCTACGTAAAGAGCTTGTTACGATGAGAGAACGAAAGAAAAAAGATCGATATTTAAGGTGAATGCAACTCATGCGTAACATCGATGAATAAAAAGCGAAAGATGAAGTATAGATTAATATATATATATATCAATAACGTTCTTATGTAAAATACATGAACAAAGTCGATTTAAACTGATGAATTTCTATTCAAAATTTATTCAGATGCAATTTCGGTCAAATTTAATAAAACAAAAAATACCAATAGTTTGATATATACTGTTGCACATCTGCGTTTTGCAAAAGAATAATTGGAAACTCATAGGCATGTCGCATTACCAAATTTATTTTGTTCAATCGTGTATTTCAAAGATAACTGGGTATGTAAGATGCAGTACGGCTTACCCTAGTAACGTAATACTTCGTTAATCAAGTTTCGAAAAAAAAAAGTTTTCAAGTTGAATAGAGTTGAATGAGCTACAAAATAAAGTTTTTAACGCTGATAACGAAACTCTAATTTATTTTGTAAAAAACTCAGATTTTAAACTTTTTGAAAATCGTATTTCGAGTTTGCTAACCAAGAAAGTTTTCCAGAAAATGCCGAGAGACATACCATTCAATATTTATTTTAGTATGAAATATAAATAAAACCAATATTAATCAGAGTGTACATTATCAAAATAATTATCCATCAATATTTATAATGTAACAGTAGTTATTTATTTTTTCAAATGAAGAATGATCAAATATCGATTATGATACATAATTCAACAAGATTAATAGATACAGTTGTGATAGTTTTCTATTATGAATTCCTGTTTATCAAAACTTATTTTTAATATTGATATTGTTCAAGTATTCGATATAAACCGTCTGTGATATACGTTTTTATTGATTGTATTAAAACAAATCAGAAAATGATCATACATTCATGCCTTATCATTTTCTTATTCTTCGACTTTTATTTGTTTAATGCAGTAAAAACTCGATTATATGTATATAATGGTGTATTTCTGTTCATTGATCACGTTCACTCCTTGCCATTTCAAATCGATTATATAATATGATCAAGGCAACAAATATCGACAAGCAAGATGAACGAGAAAGAATAAACAGCAATGATGGCAATATGCAAGAATTTTACTTATCATCGACAAACGAAATGTTGGTAATAATTTGATTATACTATAAAATAACAGACATTTATCTTGTTTTTCGAATCGTATTTTTGTCAATCAAACTGCATCCAATGTATTATAAACGCAAATCAAACGAAAAGCTCATTCATATATGTCTTTTTCTCAGTCCTGTAGGGCTGGAGATCATGATATTGACTGTAGCTGTAAGCCCGAATGTGAGCTATGGGTATGAGCGTATACTTCATTCGCATCCACACTCGAATACAAAGCATACCAATACGATCGGAGTAGTATTCCTATGATAACTTTCTTCGGTTGCTTAATCTCACTATATCATGTGCTTAGTGATCTAACGTTATCGTTTTTGTAGTACATCTAATGTTTCTTTTCGAACTAAGTCGAGCGAAGTCCAAGGGACCAACGCGTTACATGTTTCCTATTCAAGCAAACTTTGAACATCAAATATACTCTAAAACCTTACATACGCCCTACCATTAAACGAATCTTTTCAAACAATCTCTTACAACTTCATGATATATCTGGAACTCATATTATTCGAGACAGTTCAATCTATTTTATCGATTATTACGTAATTTATTATGATTAGTAACGATTGCATAAAATTCTGACAATCAATTATACTCATCAAAACAGCTTAGATGATACTAGCATGACTTATTTCATGTGACAATTCACTCCACGATGTATGCCAATATTCAAATGGGTATCATTCAATAAATCTTATCGAGATGCATCTGGCACACATCATTTCATAGTTGGCACGAGTGATAGATCAAATTGTTCTAGCAAAATCTGGTATCGGTTGTTTAACATCCCTTACATTATTCATATTTAAAAACAAAATATTACTATAACAACTGATTTTCTTTGTTCACATTCGAATAAGATACAACGTGAAAAGTCAAGAGAGTCCTCTTATACAAATACTGATTTATATTTCACAAATGAAGAAAAAAATAATAACAAAATTATGTCTTCAATATGCTCTCGTTCAATGATAACAAAATAACATTTGTTGAAATATTTTTTTTATGTGATACTTTATTACATTTCAATATACGAATTTACAACTAAAATGAAAAGTTTATTTTTATTTTATATATCTAAGAGAACAACAAAAAATTTAGAATAAAATTCAATAATTACAGTCATAAAAATGATTAATTAATTTCATGTAGATTATTAGTTTTAAGAAAATGTATAAGTTTTATTGTAATGTTTATAGTATCCAGTTGTGATGTACAATGGGATTGAAGTTACGACTGAACATCTGAGATTGCTTGTTCATTGAATGGTTTTATACGAGAATGTAAAAGAATTTTCCGTTCAATGTACCGAAATAATGGTACAAAAATAAGTTTAAACATAAGAAATGTTAAACAAAACATTTCTAAAGCAAGACTCATAAAGAGAACTGTATGAAAATTAGCTTCAGCTTTTCGAGCAATAGGTTCTTGATTATTTTCAACATAGAAATGATTTTCATTTAATGATATTGTAAAAACTGTTTCAACACTTAAATAACGATGATATTCACCTCGTCGATTATATAATAATTGATCTGATAATTCCGAACCAATAAAAGTTGTTTGCCAAACACCCGATGACTTTGTTGGTTTACCTTGTATTAAATTAGCCGTACGATTAATAATCTTAAATAACAAAATTAAATTCTTCTTCAACAAAAAAAACAAAATCTATATTACTTTTGTATTAAGAAGATTCACTTCAGGTGTATAACCAATTGTTTGATTTTCTTGTGCAATCCATTTACAAAATTTCGTCTCACGTAAAGTATTCATTCCGTCATCACTAATATTTCCTGGTCCTACTAAACAAATATATAAACCACCAATAGGAGCAAAATGTTTAATTGTATATTGAAATGTAACTTCATGATAAGATGGAATTGATGTATGAATAATTTGTGATGAATTTAATTTCATACATGTCATTTCACTAACTGGTTCATGAAGATTATGTCCAGTACCTTCTAAAATTTCTAATTGTTCACAATCAAAATTTGTATTAATAAAATTAACAACTAATGTAAATGGTTGATTATTTAACATATCAAAAATAATTTGATCTTGATCTGATCGAGTAGCTGTTAATAGTTTAAGATTTGTTTCAAAATGAGAATTTCGAAGTTTTTCATCACAAATCATTTTTGAATTTGTTGGTTCTTCAATTGGATAAAGATTAACATATTCATTACTGAATAAAAAAGCAAAAACAAGAAGAACTAATAAAGAAAATGACATTAAACCACCAATCCAAAATTCTCCTTGACCAATAAAATCTGTTTGACGAAAGATTTGTTTAATCATTATACGATGTTTATGACTTTGTGGAAAGAATTTTAAAACACCAATAATTAATAGAATGAATATAACGATAATCAACACAATTAATGTCCAAAATAAAGGTGATATTAATATACAACGTGCTGAATTTCCAATTAAAAACATATTTGCAAGTAAAATATCTTCAAATTGTGTTGAATCAGATGATCGAGGATAAGTTGTTGGTTCATGTATATCTATCATATTATTTATATTCGTATCTTCTACAGATGCTAATGGACAAAATAATGAGTGATCACATGAAGAACATTTTGTTGAATTTATTTCACTTTTAGTTTGTGTTGGACAAATTTGACAAGGTAAAATACTATTCTCTTCTTTGTACATACCTGGCCAACAAGGTGTTGAAGATTGTTCTTTATGTCTTCGATTTTTTAATCCAATCCATATCCAAGGATTATCAAACCAACTATATGATAGTGGATCCGCATACGATCCTGATTCTGCTGATAAAATAATAAGAATTTTTTGTGTATTCATTAAAATAATTAAAGAATTCCATTGTGACCATGCTGATATAAGAATAAATACTGGATTTTTATAATTCCATGAATCTAATTGTTGTTGATTATTTGGAAAAATATAATCCGGCCAATTATGTATCATTAAATTAGTATCATAGATTTGTATTTGTGATTGAGACCATGATGATGTTGAACTTAAATGAGCAACAACTGCTATTCGATGTCCATCTTGAAGCCAACAAACAGAATTGGTTTCAACATGACTTTCATATTTATGTATACTCATAATACTCTTATTATCAAATTTAAATATTTCAATACTTTTATTTGCGGAATTTCCAATAACAAATAAATTTGTATCATTATTAATATCAACAGATAATTTTGGTCCAGGATGATATTCACTAAAATGATAACCGAAATGATGAACTTCTACACAATTCAGAATTGTTATTGAATAATTGCGGGTTGAATTTAATTTTGATAAACATACAGTTGCATACATTAATGAAGATGAGAGAGTACCATTTTTCAAATATCCAATTGTAATAACTTGATCACCAGTTCTAGTTAAACTCATATCACTAGGTGTAAATGAGAAATTTTTATTAATTGATGTTACGTTATTTAATTGTAAATCATAGAAGTGGGCCGAATTATAATCAAAACCATATGCCATTAATCCATCATGTGCTACTTGAAATACAACTGAATCTGTATGTAACTTTTGTGTATCACTATACTTATATAGACATTTATGAGAATTTGATTGATTATAATAAACTGTTCGTACATAATATTCTCCTAAGGTCTCATCAAAACCCCAATAAATAAACCATTGTTTTGTCGAATTTTGATATTTACCAATTGATACACCACATACAAAAGGTTCATTAAATGGTATTTCACATTTACTTCCACTGTGTTCTGATTGTACTGTTACATAAAATTTTGATGTTTCGATATTTGCATAGATTATAGAATCTTTACTTGAACTCATTAATGACATATATGGACAATAATCAGTACCAAATTCATCACTAGAACAGTTTATTACAGTCCAAATAATGAATACAAATATACTAGTAAAAAGACCCATATTGATCGGTATTATGATGGTTTGAAATGTTAATCAAAACCTTATATATATATATATATATATATATCCTATGTGAACGTTATTTTTTTGTTTTGATGAATATAATATTGTTGAATAATAAATATTTAAATGAAATTTATATTTTTAAATGGAAACGATATATTGACTCATTAAAATACGTTAATATTTATTGATTGTTAACGAACGATAGAATATAAATATCACGTAAAATACATATTATTAGAAATGAATAAAATTATTCAAATGAGATATTATTTACTAGAAATATATCTCATCAATAATATTTAAATAGAGTTTTAGACTCTTTCTATATTTATTCAAGAAGACGAGGGAACAATAGACTCTCTAGTTGAAAGTAATTTACACTACTTCAAATCACTTTGATGTACTGTAAGTTTATTAATTAATACGAGTGACGTGATAATGTTCTACTTTTTCTTTTTCACAAAAACAATTCACACATCATTACCAACAAGTAAGGGTATATTATTCTGTTGATCTTGTTTATTATGTATTGTCGATTAATGGTAAATGGCGAATTAAATATATTGCCAAGCAGATAATATACTTCTTTGATGAAAGATATGAAACGTATGAAGAATTTGGCAAAGCATAAATAGATGATCATTGTTTACAAAGAGAAATGTATGTTGACTGTTTTAGAAATAAACAAAACTCAGATTGATTGAAATCATTCTTACGAACCATCGATAATCATTGAATCTCAAAAAAAAATTGTATGCAGTTTATCTCAAAATTCTATAGCTGCACGATGATATACTTTAATTTTGATTAGTATTTAGTTACAGAGTCGTTCAAGTGATGAAATATTGTAAACTAATCTTGACTAACCAAAGATATACATAAAACAAACAATATGTAATCGATATCATAGAACGTATTTTTGCTATTACTATTATATAAGTATGAATATAATATATTTGAAAAAAAATAGTCTATTCAATGAGAACAGTGACATATGGCTTGATTCTATCTCTATCATACGTATATTTTCCTATTAACAAACATATGTTATAGAGTAAAAACAACGCGGGTCATTATATAGTCATAGAAAAAACAAAAACTATATTATAACCTTTACAATTATATCCGAAAAAACAACTCGACTATTTGTTGATATTTTATCATAGACGCCATATAAGCACAATTTATTTTTACTACTCAGATATTTATGAATTTAAATCGTAAAATACTTATCCAGGTATGCAAAAACAAAACATTCTAGACTCGATAAGACACATAATATAAATATTTGAATGTGTGCTCCATTTCGATATAAAACTAGTATTTAATTACATTCGAAATTTATTATATTACAGTTATTTAAAACTATCAATTCTTCACTTTTAATATCCGAAAAGAAAATAATTAAAAATCCAACTTTGCTTTTAAATTTTGTATCAATATTTGTTTATAATTTTCATACTGTTGTCGTATGGCATTTCTATAAATTTGTTGATCATCATCAAGTAATGAATAGATTATTGATAATTGTTCATTATTAAACAATGGTAAACATCGAAGAAATAAATTTAAATCTATATTTAATAAAGAAAAATCATTATTTTCTTGCGAACATATATGACAAGATATTGATTGAGATAAATTAACAGGAATTTGCTCAATTGATTTTCGTTCACCATATAACCAATATGAAAAATAAATATCAACTACTTGTGGACGTACGGATTGTTTAATACCTCTCATAATTCCAGTAGTTATTTGAGAACGTACAAGACGATAATCTGCTGCTTGCATTTATTCTTATATTAAATGAATATGTATATACTGCCTTTTTTTTCTCTCTCGTCTTTTATAGATGTGATGATCGATTTGACATCCATATGTGATGAATGTCAAAGAAAAACACTATCGATTATTTCTCATTATTCATTAATTGAAAATGAACTAAAAAGAAAACACAAGGACAACATGCTGTTGGGAGATTCGATATTTTTTTTTTCTAAAACAATGTAACAATAAAACATTCTGATGAATATTTTTTTTAATAAAAAGCATTTTATTAGATTAAAATCTATGTCAGTTGACCTTATTATTATAATTAATTTAAAAAAAAAAGAATTCAATATTAAACCAACTTTTTGTTTGATTTTTATACCCATTTATTTTTTTCTCATGGATATGTGTATATATATATTCTCGATAGAAGAAAAAGAAAGAAAGAAAGAACGGGAAAAAAGCATTTATAGATCTACCATTAATAACTTTGTTGTTTGTTATGTTGTAAGAGAACACTACTGTTTTTCGCTATTATATTGTTATCAGTTGGCACGAACACAAAAAAACCCGGCATATTACTCTCGAACATTTACTCATTTTTCATTCTTATTTTCTTTTTCTACTCGAATGAATAGTAAGCTTGTATGGTTTTAAATTGCATACGAATGAAGAAGAAAAAAATGGGTTTTATCTTTTATGTATTGGAAAATCAAATTACAATATAGTTTCTTTAAGTTCTGTTAATTGATTTATGTGAATCGATTTTTTTTGCTCGTACGAAGGAAAGGAGAGAACATCGAAGGATGACCTTCCTTTTCTTTTTGTTGAATCCGACAAATATCCTTATAATATCTTCCAATTTAATTTCATAATATTAAGTTCTTTCGTTTAAGATGATTATTATTACAGAACAATCAAATTATCTTTATGATTATTGATGATGCAATAAATATACAATTGTACAATATATATATATATAAATGGAACACTCGATTTAATCAATTGGAGAAGTCTATAAAAATATGTGTCTGTAGGATATTTATCAGATGATTCGATAGACAAGGTAAAATATATTTTTATCGCTTTGATAAATATTATTAATTGATTTGATTGACTGCAACACTAATACTTTATGATATTTTTCTACGTATGTAATTTATTATCTTTTGTTACTAAAGAGGAAACATATGTATATGTATACATACATACATTAGTCAAAGACCAATCACTCCCAGTTTTTTTTCTGATGAAATTGTCCTTAGTTGACACATTCTTATACGTAAAAGCAATCAGTTTTGGTTTAGGAAATGTCAGAGATAAGAATGTTCTATCTTAATTATTTTCTATGGTACTTGCTGATTTATTCAAGAAATATTTATTAGAATACAATTCCCTTCTCTCACATTTATTTTAAATATTTTCAACAATTATATTAGTAACAATATTGTCATAAATACTATGATATAGTGAGATTAGTAGTAGCGCCTTGCAATACTCTGAAATATAATACTCGTTAGAAAAACAAAGATAATAGTATCATATCTAGAAGTTTTTAATACTGCGTCATAACAGATGCAATACGAACAAGCCTATTTATTTCTTGAGAATAACCTTGAGAAATCTGTCATTATGCTATAGTATTCATGTAAGATAAAAATATCTGTATTTGTTTTTCTATAAGATAAAATGTATAAGAAAATATAGAAATTCCATGTATGAATTTAATAGCGAATAACATGAAAAAATTTGTTTGCAGAAATATTAAATTGTATTGATCTATATTGATAAGAATGTTAGAGTTAATTATATACATCAGGAAAAGCAATATAAGATTCGAAAACGTTTGCAGATTGTGTTGTTTGATTGGAGAAATAGATATAGAGAAGTTTTCTTTTACAGCAAAAAAAAACATGTTACAAGAACAGAACGACAAAAATGATGTGCAAATGAATTGTCTTGCTAGTTTTCTTAACTAGCTTAAGAATGTAGCGTGATGATTGTTAAATCTAATGATTGTATAGATAAGATCGAGCTTTTCGAAGACAAGATTAAGTATTCATTAGTAAAATAATATATTGATGATGATGATGATAGATTTAGAAGAAATCAAAACTGAATTGTGAAGGAAAAAAAAACATCATTTCTAACTATATTGACGAATTGATTATTTTCCAGTCTATCGTTATTAATAAGTAAACAAAAATGTTTAAAATTTAATCTTATCTTTAGAATGCATATAATTTTATTTTATTCGAATATGTTTATTTTACTTATCTTATTAATTCGATTTTCATTGGTATATTCATCAACAACTTGTTCAATATTTCCATCATTGAATTGTTCTTGTTTTCAATCAAATATCGATTTAAATGTAACTTTATCAACAAAAATCTATTCCCATTTATATTGTCAAGGAAATTCGCTAAATAAAACAACATTTCAATACCCATTTGGTTCTGATTTTAAATATCAAAGTCGTTTTCGTACTGTTTCAATCGAAATTTTCAATAAAAATCATGTAGAAATTCATTCACACCAATTTGATTCTTTAGCAATGTTATTTTCTCAAACAAATCCCGATATTCAAGTTAATATTTCTCTTCGATTTGATGGGTTTAGTCAAATTACTTTTCATGAATATTCATTAACGTCAGCTATGTTTCAACAAAAACATCAAAATAAAAATTTAAGAATAGATTTTATACCATCAACATATAATTTAACACAAGTAAACAATGTTTTATAATTTAAAATTTATTTTTTTGTTGTTGATTTAGATTGAAACTAATGAAGAAAATATGACAAATATTGAAGAACAATTTCATTTTTCATCGAATTGTTTTTCTGGTTTAATTGTGTCTCAATTAACAATTTATATTCATACAAAAGAAGATTATTTTTCATCATTATCTTCATTTGAACAAATATTTAATAATACAAATATTGGTGAACTTCATCTTCATGGAACAATTATTCCTCCAAGTTTATCATCTTTAAATCGAACATTTAAAGGTCATATAAGATCATTAATACTTCTTCGACATGTTGACATTATTGATTCAACAAGTTTTCCATTTTATTCCCATGTTTATTCATATACAATTCATTCAATTGAAGCACATTCAATGAATCTTAGTTCATTTGTACCATTTTATATAAATTTACGTCGATTAGAAATAATGAAACCATCATTTGAAGTATCTATTAATTATTTAATTCCATCATTAGATTTTTTAACATTAGATATTGAACATTTAACTGATAAAACACTTTTAGCTGCTCGTCATATTCGTCATTTAAAATTAGGTTCACGTCTTCGTACAATAAATTCAGATGTATTAAAGTTATTATCAAATCGTTTATATTATTTTGATTTATCTGATATTGATCTGTCTCAAATGACATTAGATTCCCATTGTCTCCTTTTAAAATATCTTTCAAACAATTCTCAACAGCAACAATTAAATATAATTTATCCTCGAATTGAAAATTTAAATGAATGTAATTGTGATCGAATTTTTCTTAATTCTATTCAGATAAATTCCAAATCTTATTCGAATAATAATTATTCAACATGTTCAAAATTATGCATGTTTAGTGATTGTCAAATAATTAGTGAATATTTTAAAGAGAAATATTCATTGAATAAAGATGATCTCATTTATATTGTTAATGAAACAATTAATGATAAAAATAATTCAAATGAACATTTCTCATCAATTGATCTATATTCGGATCCAATTGATGTTGATATGATGAGCTTTCTTATTAATCAAACAGATGAACAAGAACGAAATGAAACACAAAGGTAAAAGCAACGATATTTTTTTCTATGTTTATAAACTCTTTATGTATTTATTATTATTACTAGACGATTAACAACAACAACAACAACAATATCTATCATTATTGACATGGCTAATATTTCAGTAATTGAAAATATTGAAGAATATGATGATAAGATTTATCTTTATTCTACACCAAAATTTGTTGAACCATCGATTGATGAAATGAATGAACCACAAGATCCTTATCGAATATTATCTTTTTCATGGTTATCATTTTTTATTGGTGTTAGTGTTGTCTTTCTTTTAATAATAATTCTTAGTTTTATTATATTTTTAATTGTACAATATCGAAAAAATCATAATTTTAAACCTGTACCTGTCTATGTTTAGATAATAATATTTTAATTTTTTATAATAAAATTTGCCATAGGCATTGAAAATAGTTTTATTGCTCGATTATATACCTAAACAAAATAATTATTGATTTTATTCAATCCATTGAGAATAGAAACTCATAATCGAGATGAATACTATTGAGCTTTTTTTCGCATGTTCACTAAAATAATTAAATCATTCTACTAGAACGTTTCATGAATAACACATAGAAAATAATAATTTATATATATGTAAGTAAAAGTATTTGTTAAATAGTACTTCATCTTAGGATTGGAATTTTCTTCTAGAGCATAAAATTATTTTCTATGAAGTATTTTGTATGTTTGAAAACATGGAATAATTCGTGACTTTTCCTTGTGTTCTATATAGGTAACATTTAAATATAAGTATTTCGTGACTTTTCCATTTGATAAATAATTCAATAGAATTGTTTTTCTATATGTTATTTACATAGATCATGTATATAAATTACCAGGTTATAGGATAAATATATTTCTACTAATGGAAGAAAAAGAATTTCTTGTTTTTCGTCTTCCTTCAGGCATGTTGTCATTCTTTTTCTTTTACTGTAGGGATTGGTACTGACATTCAGTATTAGTCTATTCATATTGCTTCTCTTCGTATATATTCATTCAACTAGTTTGCTTCATGCGTTTCTCTTTTTTTTCTTCTTCTCCTCGTTTCTGCTCTATGGTATGTCAAAGAAAAAGAACGCGTAGGACAACAACATATGAGTGGAGACAATGATGGAAAATAAAGCACGTCCGTCTGAAAACAAGCAAAAATGAATAATAATAATAACCCTATACAAACATCTTTTCTTTCGTCAGAAGAAACTATTCAGTTGGTCACTGATGTTTTACCATCAACTTTAAATTTAGAAAATAATACTAAGAAAACATCGAATATGTTATCACAAAAAATCTCAACTGAACATCGTTTAATGCGATGGTGTGCATTAATTTTAACTCTCAGTACATTGATTATAATTTGGCGTTATATAACAATATTAATTCTGTCAATTTGGTTATCAAGTATATGTCGACCAATTCTTGAATGGCTTGTTAATCATTTGTAAGATAATACGTTTGTTTTGATTCTGTTAAGAATTAATTTTGTTTTTTCTAAATAGACCTTTAATGAATCGTTGTCGAGAAAAACGTTCACGTTCAGCAATAGCTGCATTTCTTCTTGTCTTTCTTGTTCTTGTTGTAATCTTACCAATTATTTTAATCATAATTGCCTTAACAGGTTCAACAATAAATTTCGTTGCAAGTATTTCCAATTCTACAACAGCTCGACATGCTATCAATTTAATTGTTCCGCCAACAAATGATAATTTTACGAAAACAGGTGTAAATCAAACAAGTGATTATGATTTCGTTGGTTTTATTCGTGGAGGAAAAAATGCAACATTTCATCTATTCGAACGTTTATTAATGCAACGAGATACAATAACTGATGTTTTACAATTATTTGGTGGACAAGCATTATCAGTTATATCAACTGTTGCTGGTGTAACCGCTCAAGTAAAATTTTCAAAAACGAAAAAAAAAAGAATTTCATATTCAGTTTTCTTTTCTTCTTTAGTTTATTATTGGTCTTTTAATATTTTTGGTATCAACTTATTCATTTTTATTACATGGAAATGAACTTTGGACATGGGTCCTTCAACATAGTCCATTGTCAAAAAAACATATGAATCGATTTTATGATGCTTTTCATGAAACTGGTCGAGGTTTATTAATTGGCGTATGTTTAACATGTGCTGTTCAAGGTTTTGTTGCTGCTATTGCTTATTTATGTTTACAAATTCCACGTTGGTATGCGCTTGGTGTACTAACTGGTCTTTGCTCGTTAATTCCTATTCTTGGTACAGCCATTGTCTGGATACCAATAACTATTGGACTTTTTATTCAACAAGCCTATGTAAAAGCAGTTATTATGATAACGGTGGGAGTTTTAGCTATCGGATCAATTGATAATTTACTTCGACCAGTTTTTTCAAAATTAGGTTCATTACAAATGTCTACATTATTATTATTGCTAACAATTTTTGGTGGATTAGAATTAGTTGGACCATGGGGAGCACTTCTAGGTCCATTAATTGTTCGATTAGCAACAGAAGCTATTATTTTGGTTCGTGAAGATGAAGATGAAGAATTAAATAGTTCAACAACACATATGTAAAAAGAATTTTTCATTTGTATTCTTTGTTTTAAAAATATAATATAAACTCTTATTGTTTCGATTAATTACAAAAATAGAAGAACTAATGATAATGTTTAGAATCACTTATACATTCTTTCTTTAAATATCAAAAAGTCCTTCAATTACTTCTTGGTACTTCAAAACAATTCTCTTCACATTAATAAAATACAAAACATGTTCAATGATATAATATTTGTTACAAATGAGATGTTCTTTCTTGTCAACTAAGATTTATCGATACAATATTCTTTTCTTTTGTATTTTCAACTGCTATCCGGTCTAGATTACGTGTTTGTTGTTCAAATCCATTATTCAATTACTTTTTATCACAAAGATTGTTATTGTGCTGAAGTTCTATATAATAGAATCTTCTTCCTAATTCACTAATCAAATAAACTACGTCTGCCTTTTTACTTAATAAATCATATATCTGGATTAGGAAAAAGTTACTGCAATAAATTGATATTGACAACACTGGTGGAAAAATTAATCAATAAAGAAAGATTTAGTTGTAAATACTTATTTTTCTGTAGAGATCTTCATGATATTTCTTAAGATTGATTTCTCATGAGAACAAACTTTATTATAATCATAAAATATTTTTCATTATAATTGTCTTAATTGTATTTTATTTCAAAATTAAGTATAATTTTGATAAAAAATTTTTTTTTTCATTCAATTCAATATCGAACAAATAATAAACAAAATGATGCTATTAATACTAGAATAAAGATTTGTACACACACATATAGAACAGAAATGTTTTGTTTTGTTTAACTTGGTAGATTCTCTTTCATAAATTTTTCTAATGATTTTAATCGTTCATCAATATCAATCATATCATTAGTATTTGTTAAATCCGTTTTTATTGGATTTATATCTAAAGAAAATAAAACATAAGAAATGTTTTCTTTTTGTTCGAGATTATTTCAAAAGAAAATACTTTGTTGATCATGATCAGATGATGAATGATGATGGGATTTATGTGAAACAAAATTTGTTGCATTATTTGATGCAGCTTTACGTAAAACAGCTGGTGATGATGTACCTTCGATATCCTATTTTGGAATAAAGAAATAGCGTCAGTTTTAGAAGTATTAGTTTTTTCTTACAGAATCAGTTGAATCTTTTGGTTTATATTGATTAAATCCACCAGTTCGTTTTAGACTTGTTGTACTACGACGAGAACCTGATGTACGTATACCATCATCACTATCATTTAATTTCAAACTAGCAACTAAAATATACGAAGATTAAATAAATAAAATAAGAAAAAATATTTATTTTACCTGATCCTGTTTTACTTCCACCTCGAGCAGAAAAATCTAAGGTAAAATTTCTTTTTTATAATTAAATAAAATAAAGATTCGATTTACCACTCATATCCGAATCAGAACCACGTCGACCAGCACTTCGTCTTCGTCGAGTTTCTCGACTTCTATTAAAAAAAAAAAAATTTTCTTTTTGTTGTTTTTTATTAGAAAAGTAAAAATTACTTTTGTATTTCAATTTGTCGTAATTTAAGATTTCGTTCACGAATATAGGCTGTTGGATTAAATCGACCGCGAGAATCTAAAAGAAGTTTATTAAATTTAAAGAACAAAAAAAGTAATCAATGAAATTTTACCTGCTGGTGATGGTGATCGTTTCGTAATACTTGTTGAACGATGACGAGTTTCACTTCCACTTCGACGAGAATCATTTGAATTTGAACGATGTTTTGAACGATTACGTGATGCAGTTGTTGGTAATAAATGATCTGAACGATGTCGACGTTGATCACCTGATGATGGACGAGATGATGATGGTGGACGTTGTTGTAATGAACGAGGAGAATAACTAAAAAGAAATTTATGAATCAGAGAACTTCATTGAACGAAATCTATACTAGAAGATTAAGGTCAAGTACAATAAAAATTCTTTTTGTATTCTAACATTTCCCTATAGTAATTAGAATTTTTCTAATCATATCTAATTCACATGTCTCAAGGTCATATTTCGAATGTTTTAACGATAAATATTTCCTCAAATATCTAATAAAAATTCCTTCTCGTAAAGAGCAATCCAATAAGAATAAATTGTTTACTTTTGTGCGCACAATTCACTAACATGGGGGATTATTTTTCATAAAACTTTACACAAAGGAAATCGAGGTTGGGGAGTTTGAATCAGTGTAACCTTCACATTAGTATTGATTGAATACTCTGTCTTTTACTAAAGAATCACTTCACTACAAACGATCGCTACTTGTTTCTTATGATTGATGAATTACCCGTTAAGTTGTATTGATCGTTCTCTTGATGATGAACGAACTGTAGTTGGATGATGAAGAGTACTGTATCAAATAATCATATGAAATTTTAAATAATCAATATTTTTCTAATTAATTTACCTTCGTTTAAGTAAAGCAATTTCATTGACTAAACTTCTTACTTTTGATTTCAATTGTCTTTCAGATGTTTTCAATGACTCAACCTTAGATTAAATTTAAGTTTTATATAATAACAAAATTAAAAATCTATACTTGATCATTTAATACTCTGTAATTATCATTTTTTGCTGTTGTTATTGTTGTTCGTTCTTTCGTTAAAGCATCTTCACTTGCTCGAACCATTTGACGTAATAATTCAATTTGTTGTTGTTGATCATTAGAATTATTTGGGCGATTTGAAGATGCTTGTTGACGAAATTCATTATTTTCTTTTTTTAAACGACTACATCTATATCAGAGAAAATTAAAATTAAAAAAAACTAATAAAATTCTAATTTTACTCTCGTTGTAAACGTATTATATCACTACGTTCAACATCAGATTCAAGCTAAATAAAGACAAAAAGAAAAATGGAAATTTAATTTTAATAAATCTTTTTACTTTTGATTTTAATAAACGATTTTCAGTTGTTAATTGTCGTATTTGTTGCATTAAAATAACAGGATCTGGTTTTCCACAATATGGAAGTGATAATGGATAATAAATTCGATCATATTCAGCATTATAAGTTAAAATTAAATAACGTTTATTTGCTAATTGAATATTTGTTGTATGATGAGTTAAATTTTCACTTTGCCCTTGACGTTTTTTACGTAATGCTTCAAGATCATCATATGTAAATAGATCAATATTAACTGATGTACTATCCTAATTTTCAAACAAAAAAAAATAAATTAAATTACTTTTCTTTATTTTATCATACTTGATTTATGGCATTTTCGAGCATATTCACAAAAACACTAAATGATTTGAAATTACCCGTCTTCGCTGTCATTGTTTCAATAGCTAGAGGAAGAAGAAGAAATATATTTATAAAATAAAATTTAAGAAATTGTTTACCAGTAACATCAAAACATGCTTTCCATTGATCTGCACTTTCTTTTGCTTCAACTTCTAAATCAATTTGTGGTTGTTTTGAATTATGAACAGACATTGATATAATATATAATTGATTTCGTATGGTAATTTCATTCGAACAAACATGTTTTAATGATGATGATTCCGATAAACCTGGACTAATTGCTGATAGATCAAGTGAATCTTTCATATCTAAAATTTACAAAAAGTTTATTTAACAAATATAATTTAACGATACTAAAATGCATTACACCAATAGGGAATGGAAAAAGCGAGCATAAAGTTAAATATTTTTAGTTGATATCATGCACGAGCAAAGCAACAATCAATCGTAATAGATTTATTTTATATCAATAGTATTACCCTAAAATACTTGAAATTGAATTTTTGATAGAGACAATTTGTCTATTTTCTATTTACAAAAAACATTTAATAGATAAAAACCTATTGATTATTATTCTCATATTACCTTGACAAGAATCACTGAAAATATCATAACTTTATTTTTTTTTTGTTAAATTTATTTTAAATAAAAAATAATCTAAAAAAGAGACTAATTTTAGTTGTTGGTATTTTTGTTTTTATACTGAAAAAAAAATGAACTCCATATTTCTCTCTCTGCTACATTTATTCGCAGTATTGACTATGAATCGGTTCAATGTCTTTGCTGCATAAAAAGGATGAATAAACAAATAAAGGAAAAAGATAAATCAATGTTAGTTGTCTAGAATTAATGTGAGATGGTATACATTCGACTACGTGTTCGATTATAGTCCCGTAATTGTTCAATAGGACCTAAAATACAAAAAACAATAAGAATTAATAAAAACAAAACAAAATAATAAACGAACCAAGAGCAGCAACAGCTGGACAATGATTGTAAACATATTGTTTCATGACTCCCATAACTGTTTTAGCATCAACAGCCTAAAATTATTTTAATTCATACATTTGTTTTTCTTTAAAAATAATTTAATAATACTTACATCAATACGTGCATTAAGTTCATGTAATGGTAAACGTCGGCCATATGAAAGTAATTGACTATAAATAAGAAAATATTTCAATGTAATATATATATATATGATTAAACAAACCGTCCAATATCTTCGCAAAGTGGTGTAGAACCATCGAGTGCTAATAACATGTTTGTTTTCAATAAATTCTTAGCACGTGCAACTTCAATGTCAGTACAAGCTGTTGCAATACGACACCTTTTGTTAATAAAAAGAATAGTTGAAAAATGACGAAAGAAATTTTTTTAAAATTTAATACCATTCATCTTGTAATGCACTCATAGCATCATCAATTCGCATACGATCTGTTACTAAATAAGCACCCCATAAACCGGTATCGGTATAACATGTATTAAATGATTGAAATGAATGACATAAATTATATTCAACCGATTGTTGGCCAAAACGTGAAGCAACATGACCACCACCAGCCATTGATCTATCCCAATTGCCAACAATTGTTGATGCAACCATTAATGGAATTGTATCAGCATGAGTCAAACCTGTACTTTCAACACCAATAGCAATATGAGCTAATGGCATATCATCATCACGAATACGAATTTCACTACCCGTGAAACTAATAGAACAAAAAATAAATATTAGAAAATAATATTTATAAATGTTTTCGGTACCGGCATGGTAAAAGATCAGGTACTTCTCCTTGATAACCGGCTTTTACTTTTCCAAAATGTTCTTCACTTAAACGAACTAATTGATCATGATTAATTCCTCCAGCAGCTGCTAAAACCATTCGTGGTGCTTTATAATGTGTTCCAACATATTTAAGTAAATCAGCTTTTTTAATTGATCTTAAACAAAAAATAATGTTGAAAGAACTTTTTGTTAAGTAATTTTTTTACTTAATATTGTCTGTTGGACCAATAACACTTCGAGCTAATGGTGTTCCTTGATAAGCAGTTGCATGTAAATGATCAAAAATAACATCTTGAGGAGTATTTTCAATTTCTTGCATTTGACGTAAAATTGCATGACGTTCACGTTCAATATCTTCTTCATTAAATTGATTATTTTGAACAATATCCGATAAAAGTTCAACAACTATTTTTTTCGAATATAAATAAATAAATTATTTTGTGAAAAAAAATAAAATCAAAATAAATTACTTTTTGGTAAATCTTTACTATAACATTTAGCATAATAAACTGTTTGTTCTCGTGATGTATAAGCATTTAAATGTGCACCGAGATTTTCGATTTCACTTTCAAGTTCATTTTGTTTTCGATTATTCGTACCCTGAAAAATAATTTTCAATAAAACCATATTTTGGTATTATTATTATTTACTTTGAATGCCATATGTTCAAGAAAATAAGCAGTACCATTATTTTGTGCTGTTTCAAATCGACTACCAGCATTAATCCAAACACCAACTGTACATGTTGGAATACCATAATCTTCTGATGCAACACGTAAACCATTTTTAATTGCTGTTACACGAGTTTCAGGTACATTATAAAGTGTTTGCTCATATGTTATTGAGGGATTTGCTTGTAAAGCTGTAGATGCATTACGAACCTAGAAGAAAAAATAAATTCAAGAATGAAAATTGAAATAATCTTATAATATTTACTGATGATCGAACAGCATGACGGCTAGCTCCATGAAGAATACCACGAAGAAGCATGTTGTTAATGAATTTTATCTGCAAGATGAAAAATAGTTAGTACCTATACTGCGAAAAAAAATATATTTTTTTCAACCATATTGAAAATAGAAAATGGTAGCCTCTACTACAATATTTATTAATTAATATGAAAAGTTTTAAGAATGAAAGGAGAAATAGTTACTGTAAATTTCATCTAGGTCTAAAGTACTATTTTTAAAATGACTTAGCGACACTAGCAACGATCGTAAAATATAAATAGGTTCATTAAAATGTCCATTTGAATGTGTCCATGCAACCTCGAATGTTCTATCAAAGAGGACATCTATTTTTCTATGTATTCATCTGATTGACAATCAGCGTCATCTGCAATAATACTTTCCTTGATACAATCGTCTACTATAACTGATTTTTAAGAAAATCTACATTAGCATAATATTTAATAATTACACAGTAAAGAGTTTAATTACTAGAAAAATTGATAGTATGATAAATTTCATAGTTTTTATCATTTTTATGAAATATTTCTATTAAAAAATATGCATAATAATGTCTATTCGAATTATTTTCATTAATATGAATCTTTATCAGTGACAATGATGGCAAAACAAAAAGCGAATGATTATTCAATTTAAATTCTTTTCATAAATGATCTATTTATGAATTGAATTGTGATCGTCGTTTTGGGAATAATACAAGCATAGAATTTTTATTTTCATAAACATTTTATTTATAGGATAGATAAACATTTATAAGATTTATTTATGGAAATGAAAAAAGAAATGAATTGAAAATAAGATAAGACAAAAATGTTTAATAATACAATGATCATCACAGTTTTCTCCATTTGTTTCCCTTGAAATTTGACTTTATTTTCGAATTGATCGAGAACATCTTCTTATAATTGAATTTATTGATTAAATTATTAGTAAAAAAACATTTTTAAGTTATTTTATATAAAAATAAATATGTTGAATCTATGAGCTCAATCGAATACATAGTTCTACTCTGTATAAACAATTATGTTATTTATACTTTTTTCTTTTTCTTTTTTTTATTCTTGGAAGAATGTTATTACAGATAACATTCTTGTCCAATGTTTCGATCTTCATTCGTCAACACTGTGGTTGATGCATTTTTCACATTTAGTTTCTTTCCACCGACTCTTCTTTCCAACATATACATTCCTGGAAATGACGCAGAGTAGAGAATCGTGCATACAAAATACATGATAACCAAGAACGGTTTGAAATTTTTTTGTATGGTTTTATTCAATCTTCTTGGATTTTTCCACTGGTATCTTTTATCTCTGGATAAATTGAATCCAAGAAGAGTATAAATATGCTCTTGTAACGTATAATTTACATTCAGTTTTCAATCTCATGGTTGCAAGTAAGTGTTGATGTGCTTAGATAACTATCTGTTTTTCTTCTCTCTGTATGTTGATATCTTCTTGAATGAATTTTAGAAATGAAAACTTTTTTTAGTTGAGTTAGACTTTCAAACATCTTGTTCGAGTGTGTATAATACAGGTACTAGTATGGAAATGAGAGTATTCTGTTCATTTTTCATTGACACATTCCTATTTTGAACACAAAGTTCATAATCTATCTCGACAAAGGTGTTTAAAATATTTCAGATGTTTTATTTTTATAGTTGATCTCTCGCATTTAATCTAATAATTGGTTTGAATGGAAAGATGAGAAACTAGTTCAAATCCGTTCTTTTATAAGGAACCATAAATAATTTAGAGTGACCACGTGCTTGGTAGTACAGGATCAATCATCAAGAACTCTACATTTGCAGATACTTTTTCCAAAATACCGTTGTTTTTCGTTTGCATAGAAGAAACTTCGTTGTATATCCGTTTGCGCAAAATTCTTCTCGAAAAAACTAAACCTAAAGCTATAAGCTATTTATAATTTATAAAACAAAATATTATTCTTGTATGACAAGTCCTTCAATAACATGATCTTCTTTTGATCATTGGACGTATTAAAAAATGAACAAATTTTATCATAAAAAACATTTGTTTCACGTAAAATTGTTTTTTAGATTATATTTAATATCTCATGATGAACGAAGTTTTACCCGATGATAATGCCGTTGGCAATATTACTCTGCACTCGTTGGATCATGGCGTTTCAAAAAATGATGACCTTCAGTCTGATTATGACAATCGAAGACTTGGCCTTAAACGTGGATGGAAAGAATGTGTATTTTTCATTTTCTTTTGGGCTTTTAAACTTTTTATTATTATTGTCTGTAGTTTGCTAACTTTTGGGTACATAGAGATTACTACAGGATTATTTTCTGATGGTGAAAATGTCTTTGGCAATATTGCATACTTATTCTACATGAGAGTATGGCTTTACGCTTCGACCTATGCAATAACATACGGTTGTATCAGTTCGTTTCTTACGTCTCTTCTTATATAAATATGTGCTGATCAAGTTAGCACTTGCACATTAATTGTATTTATGATCATCGAACTTATTGTATGTGACCTCGTTCTTCTTGTTACAGAACAATGGATTTTATGCGTCGGACTTTTTTTCTTTCTATTACTTGGTACACTGATTTACATGTGGTACTTTCAAAACCGAATCTTATTGGCAGAAGCTCATTTAGAAGTAAGCTGTTCTATCCTACGTAGTAATACGTCATTAAGGCTTATCGTATTTATCGTATCCATTATGAACCTTTTGTGGTTTATCATAATGAGTGTGAGTATGCAACTCGTTTTGAATTATATTTTACCAGTCAAAACAATAGGAAATTTATGGACTCCTCAACTTGTACATAATTTTATTCTTCAAACCATCGCTTCGGCAGTTATACTCTTTTTATGTCTTTGGGGAATGATTATTTTCGCCAATATTATTCGTTTTATCGCAACTTGCTCTATCGATCTATGGGTGTCTAGTAACAATGCTGATCAGCGGAATACAATTGGAATGTGTATCCGGCGAGCGTTTACTACAGATTTTAAAACAATCTGCATAGGTCCACAATCTCAAACTGCATTCCTAGTTGAATCTCGTATGAGAGAATTCAGAAAACGGGTAAAGGTCTTAATTTATAGCTACACGCGTTATTGTCAAACATTTAAAATGATACTTGGTTTGATGAACGAATGGGATTTTGAATATGAAGCATTAACCAAACAACCATTTGCTCAAGCTAGTCGAAGTATTACTGATTTATTCAAAAAACGCGACTGGGACATGATTATCAATGATACACTTATAGGGCAATTTTTGTGGGTAAATAATTTGCTGGGAGCCGTCATCTCAACTGTTATCTCAACATTAATCAATAGTTGCATTGCTTATATATTGGCGAAGAACTTATCAGGAGAAGATATAACTGCTGCTTCTATAATTGCGATATGCATCACTCCCTTCATCAGTTTGTTTTTCAGCTCAATTATGAATACGATGTTCAAATCATATGTTCGCACGATATTCATTTGTTTTACTCTCAATTCAGAAGCACTGAAAACAACACATCCAGATCATTATGCAAGTTTGACCAGTGCTTGGGATACATTACATCGGAAGGAGTTGGTCACCAGCGATAACTCTAATAACATATGAGTACAACATTACTGAACATTTGTAACAACTATAATACTTTTTTTATTAATCAAGAAATTTGAAATAAAATTTGAAATTCATATATTCAAGAAACTAATATAATAGAAAATATTTGTTTACGGAATCACTAGACAATAATGGAGAGAATCAAAAGTAAAAGTTAATACTTGTGATTAACTTCGAATTTCAAAAAATATTGTTTCCAACTCAAGGGTATGGATGGACCTAGGTTTATCCTGCTTATTTGCCTTTGCTATGTAATATTTATCTTTAGTTTTAATAAATTATTGTTTAGTTCGTTCAATTATTCCTCATTCGTATTATTTATTGCACGATTAAATTTCAGTCACCCGAAAATAGGATATCAGAAAAAAATTAAATAAATTAAATAAAAGAAAAGAAAATCAAAAGGGTAAATATTTGACAATAAGTTAAATAGCCATTGCTTGTTGCATGTATGTTTTCTGTTCCGAATAATAAATTGATTTATTACCTGTAGCTGTTGCTGCAGCAGAATCTCGTCTAGCATAACAATTATTTATTTCTTCAGCTCGTGTATCGTTCATTTTTCGAAGAAGACAAGCAAGACGTGGTTTACAGAATGTATACGGTCCCATATTTTTATGTTCTTCTTGTGCGAAACATATTTTTGCATTGTTATATTTTTCAAATTCTTTACGAATTTCATCGAATGGAAATGGACATAATTGTTCAATACGTACAATAGCTATGTCCGAATCAAGTTTATTAGTTTCACGTTCTTTGTATAAATCATAATAAGTTTTTCCTGAACAGAAAATAATTTTTTTAACATCCGAAGCATTTTGAGATGCAGCACCGTCTTCCGGGTAAATACGTTTAAACGTTGTACCAGTAGTCATTTCATCAAATGATGAACGACATTGAGGTAAACCAAGTAATGATTTTGGTGACATTATTATTAATGGTTTACGAAATGGAAGTGCTAATTGACGACGAAGTATATGAAAGTAATTAGCTGGAGTTGTTAAATTTGCTATTATCCAATTAGCATCATCTAATTGATACATAGCAAGATCGTTATGATGAAGATGTTTTGTTTCTTTAATTTCTGTAACTTGATCTTCATCTTCATCAGC